CTCCTCCTTCTCCTGGGGCCCGCTTGGGAGCCTCGTGGGGCCCTCTTGGGGCTCTCTTGGGGCCGTCTGGCCTTATTGGACCGTCTTGGGGCCCTCTTGGGCAATCTGGGGGCCCTCTTGGACCGCTTTCGGCTCCTTTGGGGGGCCTCTGGGGCCGTCTTGGGACGATCTTTGGGGCCTCTTGGGCCATCTTGGGCCCGTCTGGGGGCCCTCTTGGACCGTTTTGAGCCCCCTTGGGGCGCCTCTGGGGCCGTATTGGGACGATCTTTGCGGCCTCTTGGGCCGTCTGGGGCCCTCTGGGACTAGGGGGGAACCCGAAAAACCTGCAAAAACCGTTAGGAAATCAATGTTTTTGACCTCCTGAGGCCCTCTCGGGGGTCCTCTTGAGGGCCTCTGGAACCGTCTCGAAACTCTCTTGGACCGTCTGCAGGTCATCTGAAGCTCTCTTGGGGAAGTCTTGGAGCGCTCTGAAGCCGTTTTGGGACCCTCTTGGGCCGTCTTGGGGCCTCTCTGGCAGGTTCACCCGAAAAAAATATAAAGAGAAAGGCCATGGGAGCCGCCCGGGAGCCGCTTCACTCGACAAAAAAAAGGCGCAAGGGCAACTAGACTTTGTTCCCCCGCTAGCCCCCACACGCAAACCCCCTCCCTACAAGGGCTTCGCCACCTGCGAAACGTCTCTCGCTCGTACCTCGCTCTTTCCGTCATCCGCTGCCCCCTGCTGATTTGTCACAGGAGCACCCGGAATGCTAAATGTCTGATGGTTGATTAAACTCCCCCTGGGGCTTCGGCCCTGCGCTCTGGCCACCCGGAAAGCTACTCGGAAAAAGTTCGTCCTGCTCCAAGTGGCTCCAGGATGGCCCACGATGGCCTCCCAGACGGCCAAGATGGCCCAAAATTCGCCCGAGATGGTCCCAAGATGGCCTCCAAGACGGCCCAAGAGTCCAAGACGCCTCCAAGTCCGCCCAAGAAGCCTCCCAAACGGCCCAAGGCGGCCCCAGAGGTCCACAGGAGGCCTCCGAGACGGCCCAGGAGGCCTCCAAGAGGTCCTCCAGGAAGGCCCGAAGAGGCCAAGATCATTGATTTTCCTTTGGGTTTGTGACGGATGTTGCCCTCAGTTTCTTTTCGACCTTCTGACGGCCCAAGAGGGCCCCAAGATGGGCCCAAGATGGCCTCTAAGATGACCCCATGACGGCCCAAGAAGCCTGCAAGACAGCCGAAGAGGGCCTCAAGACGACCAAAGAAGCCTCCAAGACGTCCGTGATGGCCTCCAAGACGGCTCTGAAGCGCCCCAAGTGGGCCCCAAGACGGCCCAGAGAGGCCCCCAATACGGCTCCCGACGACGTCAGACAAGCTAGCCCCCACAAACTACGAAAGAGATAGGGTGACGGAAACAGCCAAATCGACAATGAAAGTTGCATTACTTTTCCAGGGCAGTGCAGGCCCAACGCGGCCACACCTCTCGCGCGGAAAGTCATACCGCCAGAGCAAGAACCATCCTTTCCTTTAGACTGGAGCCACGTCATCACCAATGGGGGGGCGTTGGGAGGTGCAATAGTTCGCTTGCGCGAACTCTTGCGCGAACTCTTGCGCGAACTGTTGCTGAGGAGCACGAACTACTGCAAGGCAACCTTTTGCGCTTGAACACATACGCGATTGAATCCACGCGCAACTGCTGCGCCCAGACCGCAAGCCGTTGCATCCATGCAAAACTGCTGCAAATACTATGGCACCTACTCTGGCCCAGGGCTCGACCTAAACGGTATCTTCCGTTTTCGCTCGGCTCGGGCTCGGTCTTCCGTTTTCGCTCCGTTTTCGTCCTGTCTTCGCTCAGCCCTTCCTGCAGAACGAAGCCGAAACGAACACGGCCCACGAAATCGCCAGAACACTGTTTATAGAGGCCTCCTTGATGGGGTCCGAGTAAATGGGGTCGGAGGATCGCGCCACATCGCCGATGCATGGGCGATGCATCGGCGATGTAACGTCGACTTCGGCGATGCATCGGCAGCGTCGACGTGGATCAACTCGGGCTCCGCGTTGAGCCGCATCGGCGATGCATCGGCGACGCGGCGCGATCCTCCGACCCCATCTGCTCCGACCCCATCTCGGAGGCCTGGAGCTTAGGTCGAGACCTGCTCTGCGCAACCCCTCCCATTCTGGATTGGACTTCCGCGAGCACTAGGGGAACAAAAAAGTGGCATAAACATAAAACTCGAAGGTCCGCGCAGATTTTTCGAATCGGCGCTGGACCCCCCCTCCCTGGCGCGCGGAGCGCACCAGGGGCGGCGCCGGAGGCGCCGCCGGGGGGGGGGGGGGGCCGGCGCCGATCCGAGAAATCCGCGCGGACCTCCCAGTTCTTGTGTTTATGTCACTTGTTGTCCCCCTCATTTAGGTCGAGACCTGCTCTGCGCAACCCCTCCCATTCCGGCTTACACCCTGCGAAATGCTTAAGAAATCATGGGTTAAGAAATTCATAGTCTCAGAACTTGAGTAGAAGCCCAGAATTTCCATCGAAATCTTAGGATTTACATGGAAACATTAAGAATAATCGAGACTCTGGCCGAAAACTTGGGTTTTCTTAACCATCGCCTAAGGTGTACACTTCCGCGAGCACGCCCGGCCCCCCCACCGGCAGCGGCGGTGGCCCGGGCGCCGCCCGCGGCGGCGCCGCCCGCGGCGAGCGCCGCCGCCGCCGTGCCGGCGGCCGCGCCACTGGCCGGGGGCGGCAGGCAGAGGAGACCTCTGCGGCGGCGGCCCGCGCTCGCCGTTTTCCCCTGCGCCCCGTGCCCCCTCGTCGTCCTCCTCCTGGTCCCTGCTCCCTGCTCCCTGCCCCCTCCTCCCTCCTCCTGCTCCTCCCTCGCCCCTCCTCTCCTCCTCCTCCTCCGCCTCCGCCCTCCCTCCTCCTCCTCCTGCTCCTCCTCCTGCTCCTCCTCCCCCCTCCTTCCGCCTTTTCCTCGCGGAGCTCTCGGACGTGAAACTCACAGGAGCTCTTGGATGTGGGAGGGGAGGGGGAGGGTGGGGGGACCTTGCTCTATTCTCACTCAGAGTGACAGTACGTACACCAGTCATGGAGCAAACCTCCACCCGAAGCAGCACATCTAAACCTCATGGCGCAAGCCTCCGCCACCCCCGACGTGGTGCGTGCGGCGTCCGGGGAGGGCGGCCCGCACGCCCACCTCCCCCCACCGTGAGGGGGGTGCGACGCCCGCCTCCCCCACACCTCAAGGGCGCCGACTTCGGCGTTGGCTTATGATTTAGGACGAAGAATAAAAGATACCCCCAAAAAAAAAACCTCCAGAAGCGCTCAAAAACACGACGATCAAAACGTCATAGTCCCCCGACAAACTGTTTGACTCTTTTTGAAGATTCCTCCTGTAGAGGGACAGGCAAGACTTAGCTGACACCGCGGAGATCGCTTGACCTTGAACGATCGGCCGTTTCCGAAACGTCCAAATCGTTGCACATCGAACGTCGAACATCCGTCCCAGTCGCCCGCGGAGTTCAACGCTGAACGCCGCTGGCGGCGTCGCTGCCGGTCGCCGCCGTAAGCCTGTCCGACACCAAAGGGACAGCACCATACGCCTTCCCAAACCTAGCAAAATGTTGCATCATATGCGCATGGATTCCTTCATCTATATCTTCACAGATTTGGGTCCTCAATGGTTTCATCCTCATGGACCCGTGACCTGGACTTGCATCCCCTGCTGGTCGTCTCGAGCCCCTTGTTGACTTCAATGGACTCATAGACTTCAAGGGGGAGGGACGTGTGTTTGGGTGGGGCTTGTTCCCTTCTCCCTCGCTCCCCTGCCTACCCTATCTCTCTCTCTCTCTCCTCCCTCCGTTCCTCTCCCTCCCCTCCTTCTCCTCCCCTCCTCCTCTCCCTCCTCCCCCCCTATTCGTTCTCTTCCTCCTCCCTCTCCCCTCCACCCCATCGGAGCAGGGGCCACCGTGTGAGGGGTGCGCCAAAATGGGGCGGCGCCGCCATGTGGACCCTGTCACTGAGGCCTTCGGTGGAGCTGCCTAATACAGGGCCACGAACAGTGTGAGGGGTGTGCCAAAACGGGTGGCGGCCCCCGCATGCGGACCCTGCCACTGGGGCCTTCGGTGGAGCTCCCTGTGGGGCCACGAACCGTGTGAGGGGCGCAGCGCTGACGATGGCGATGGCGATGCTCATGATGATGTGGATCATGACGATGGCGATGACAATGACGATGATAACGCTGACGATGACGATGACGAGGCGGATGGGAAGAGGGAGGAGGGGGAGGAGGGGAAGGAGGAGTGGGAACGAGGGCGCTGTCTCTTCAAAATGAGGACCCAACACCACAAGATGGTTGGGAACTAAAAACAAAAAACAACAATCCGCTCCGCAGAACTCTACTTCAGCCACGCGCCCTGGAGCAGCGAATGACCGTTCGGCCCAGTCACTTTGAAGAGTACTGCTACTCCGCGGACCTCTCCAGAGGCGCGCTCTGACACGAATTCCGAGGAGAATCCAGCCTTTGCGACGAGGGCTTCCCAGGAGGCCCAAAATGGCCAGAACGACGGGACCCAGACATCCAGCGCTCCAAGATTCTCGATGCGTGCACCCCTGGAGGTCCGGACCACTTCCCTAGGACCGGCTTTTCACCCTGAGTCGTTTTCTGACTATCCCGGGGCCCGTTGAGGGCCCCCGGAGGTCGAAACGGCAAAAAACCGGCCGCTACAATTTTTTGTCGGAGCCTCGGATCTCTGGGCTCTCATCCCCAGAGCGAGGGCACGGACACGGACCTGTCCGTGCCGTCGGGGCGCTGACCGAAGGAACCCTGAATGAGGAACGAGGCCCCTTTTCTCCACGAATTAAACTTCGATTCCCCCTCGAAAGCCTACGGAAAACAGAAGGCAAACCTGCGGAAAACCTACGAGAAGGGTTCCTTCTTCGGCGCCCCGACTGCATGCCCGACGCCGAGGAGCCCGCCCGCCACGGCCCGGCGGGCCGGAGCGGGGCCGGCTGGGGGGCCGGCACTCGAAGTGCAGCAGGCCGCGGAAGCTGCCGGCGGCCTCGAAGGAGGAGGCCGCGCGCGTCCTGAGCGGCCGTGGATCGGGAGCGGCGTCCTCCTCCTCCTCCTCCTCCTCCTCTTCCTCCTCCTCCTCCTCCACTTCCTCCTCCTCCCCCTCCTCCTCCTCCTCCTCCCCCTCCTCCAGGGCCCCCGCGGAGACCGCAGACGGCCAAAAAAACGCCCTTGGTTCAGACCCCCGATGTCGTGATTTTCTCACGGCGTCGACCCCCAGAGGATCTCGGGAGCGGCCAGGAGGGGGGTGTCCAAGAGGGGGGGGTGCAAATCATGACCGGCGGCACGTGCGCGGCCCAGCGGGGGGGCCAGGGACGCAATGAAGTGAGAAGAGGCGCCATGAGACCTGGGGAGATGTCATGGCCCCCGCCATGATATCCACCCCCCCTAGTCATCACCCCCCTCTCTGCCGCCCCCGAGTGGAGAGGGTGTCTCGTTCGCTGGCACAGCTGTATTCGAGAGCTCGGAGCCCTTCATTTTCGTGGTCGTTCGCCCGTTCGCTCGTCGCCAGGCCCGGACCCCCTGCCTCCTCGTGACGGTCATGGTGGCCCTGGGAGAACACCGGGATGGCTCCGAGAACCCCTCTGTCCCCTGACGCCGCCTGGCCTGACCCTCGCCGCATGCGTGCCACTTGCTTGGACGTGGGTTGACTACCTACCAAACCACCCCAACCCAACCCGAAGACCCGAATTTGACCCGAATTTCGGGTTGGTGGGGTACGGGTTCAGTGTATTTTCCCCCCCCACTGGGAATGGAGGGCAAATTGAGGCCTTCGGATTGGGTTGGGATGGTTTGGTGAGTGGTGATGGGTCGGAGCCCAAGCGGCACCTCCCATACAAAGCACGAGGGCCCCGAGAGGCCGAGCGAAGCGAGGGTTAGGTCGGGCGTCCCCCGACAGGCGGATCTTGGACGAAACATTAAGAATACCCAAAAACTACCCCCAAACTTTTTTTGATCCGCGGGTCGAGAGCGCACCTCTTCCGGTCGAAGCTGAGCGGGCCGCGCACGGCTTCAATGAACAGGGGGGGGAAGGCAGAAGGAGGGGCCTCCACGTCAAGGCCAAGAGAGGGCAGAGCCCCGGAAGCAGGCGGTGCCGACGACGATGTGCTTGACAAAGGAACCGAACTGCCCCCAAACAGGCAGAGGGACGGGCCCGACGTCAGGCGAGGGGCAGGGAGAGAGCACGGCGCTGGACCGCCAACAGGCAGGGCAGCGCGGCGCAGACCGCCGTCGGCGCGCGGCAGCCGTGCAGGCGAGGGGGCCCTGGGGCACACTCTTCTGCTCCGCGGGTCGAGCGCGAGCCTCGCGTGCGGGTCGAAGCGGAGCGGGCCGCGCACGGCTCTCACTCACAGAGAACGGGGGAAAAGGAAGGCGGGGCCGCACGCCAAGGCCAAGAGGGGGGGGGACGGGCCCCGGCACACGCAGGGCGAGCAGGCGCAGACCGCAGGAGTCTCCCCACGCCTCCCCCCCTTGCTGCCTGGGCCTCCGGCTTCCCCGCCGCTTCCCGCAGCCTCCCAGGGACTTCCCTGGGAGTCGGCGACCGAACTGTGTCTGCGTGGCTGTTCCCATATCAGTGAGAAGCTGCGCGCGTCCCGCGGAGCTTTTGGCGGAAGAGGCTCGCTCTCGCCCTGCGGACCAAAAAAAATATGGCTTTTGTTCCCTCCTGAAACGCGCCGCCGTCAGCCAGCAGCAACTATGCAGAGCCAAACGAGGGGAGACGTGACTGGGGGACCGGATCAAGCTGGGATTCGGTCGGGCGTGTCCTCCTGCAGACGGATTGAGGACGAAACAAATACAAAAAGCAGTCACTGAATACTCACAAATGGTCAAAATAATAGCATTAAAACTATGATATATATATATATATATATATATATATATATATATATATATGTATGAGAAAAATCGCCCCCATACTATGTTTTACTATTTTCGAGTGCTCCTCCAGTAGAGGGACACGCCCCACTTCACGCTGGAATCCGCGATACACCGCCGACAGATCGGCGACAGGCCCCCCAGAGGTAGCAGACCCGCACGCTCCCGGGCGGGGTGAGCTGCTAAGCCCCTATAGATCGGCAACGAATGGGTGCCTGGGGGCCGATGCCTCACCCACCCTGAGCCTTTCACAGTTTTTGTTGGTCGGCGGGGCGAGAGCGAACCTCTTCCGCTAAAAGCTAGGCGGGCTACGCACAGCTTCAATCAGGGAGACAGGGCACAGGCGGGCGGGGCCTCCGGCGGCTGGAGTGGGGAAGCCCTGAGCCTTTCACAGGGGAACGAACAATGACATAAACATAAAAACTCGGAGGCCCGCGCGGATTTCTTGGGTACTCGCTGGACCCCCCTCCCTGGCGCGCGGAGCGCGCCAGGGGCGGCGCCAGAGGCGCCGCCAGGGGGCCCCAGCGCCGATCCGAGAAATCCGCGCGGGCCTCCGAGTTTTCATGTTTATGTCATTGTTCGTTTCCCTATTTCCCCCCCTGACGTTGCCCCTGAAGACGCCAGGTGACGGGGGGCTCCGAGTGGGCCCTGGGAACGGCAGCGCCGCTTCTGCACCGCTCGCCCACGAATTTGCCACTTGATCCTGGACACGGCGCGCCAGCAAATGAACGGGCCCCCGCAGCGGACACGGCCTGGGCCGCCTGGAGAGCCGAAGGACGCTCGAAACCGGCTCGAAAACGGCTCCTCCTCCTCCTCCGCCCTCCTCCGCCTCCTGGATCCGGTAAAGAACTGATCTGGACCAGGCCTGGAGGCCTCGCGCAGCAGCCTGAGACCCGTCGGATCCACGCCGAATTTACGCCGGAGGCACGCTCGAAGCGCGTCGGAGTGGCGTCGGACTCCCGTGAGAGCACCGCCGCGCGAACGTCGTCCCGCAGCCGAGAGGGCGGACGCGTGGACCAGATAGCACAACTGCGGCCGGACCTAAAACAGAAGCACACCCTCCAAGAGCACGAGACCCTCCGCCGGCCAGACGGAGGAGCATTCACGGGTGCCCTCCCCCAGGATACACAAGAGCATCCAACGAGCGCGGAGAGCATCAGGGTGCCCTCCTCCAACCGCGCGGCCGCTGGCCCAGGCAGCTCCTGGGCGTCGTCGTGGCAGTCTGGACTCCCCCCGGACCTCAAAAGGCTGCAGAACACCGGACTGCTCCTCCTCCTCCTCCTCCTCCTCCTCCTCCTCCTCCTCCTCCTCCTCCTCCCCCTCCTCCTCCTCCTCCTCCTCCCCCTCCTCCTCCTCCTCCTCCTCCCCATGCTTCTCGAGGCATCGCCAGGTGATGCCCTCGCGCGGTGCCTCGAGAGGCCTGGCAGGGGAGGGAGGGGAGGGGAGAAGCAGGCGGGCGAAGACGAGCGCCCCGAGCCGACCGCCGTCTCTCTGCCTCGGCCCGACTGCGACACGACGATTGCGCGCCGCGCGAGGCCTCCGCTCCCCGGCACGGGCGCCCCCTCGAGAAAAGGGGAACTCGTGGTGGCCTTCGGCGGGGTCTCTCGGAGGCACCCGCCGCACGGCCTGGGCCTCCCCGAGGCGTTGCAGGAGGAGGGGGACGAGGAGGGAGGAGGGGGACGACTTCCGCATCACTCAAGGGGCCCAGGGACACACACATCAATACACACCACAAAGAAAAGGACTCCCCATATTTCCCCATATTTTCGGGGCTTCTGTCTTCCCCCCCCACTTCCCATAGTTTCCCATATTTTCGGGGGGATCGACGATTAATTGTGTCTGTGTGTTTTTTTTCCCTCCTGAATCACACGGGGTGGCGCGGGCCGCGGGCGGCCGGGCCGAGGCCTCTGCGGAGCCCGCGGGGTGTTGCGCGGGGCCACGAGGGGGCCACGCGGCGCGGCTGGCAACCTGGCCGGGGACCACCAGACCATAGGGGTGCCGCCGTCGGAGGCGGAGAAGCGCCAGAAGAGCAGCGATCCCTTACCAGCCTCGATCATATCCCTATCCCTGAGATTGACACGCCAAAAGGCGATGACAATCTTAGGGATGCGCCCTCAAAACATAAGGGAGTCCCTGAGATTGGCATCGTGATGAGGCGATGCCCAGCATAGGGATAGGGATATGTCCCAGGCTGGCTCCTGGCCGGGGACCGCCAGACCATGGGGCGCCACCGTCGGGGGCGGTTGACGGCGCGCACAAGGGGGTGGAGGGAGGGGGAGGGCTTCTTAGAAGGAGGCTGCTTCTTAAAAGGCGCTGGCCTTACATCTATAGATGAGGCCCTCGCCTTCGAAGACGCAGGGGTGCTTCTCAGAAGCCCTCCCCCCTCCCCCCACCCCCCTCTGCGCGTTGCTGAGGCGGAGAAGAGCCAGGAGAGCAGCGATCCCCCTGGAGGAAGAAAGAGCGCCATGAGCACAAACTGTTGGCGCTCCGCGCGGACTTCTTGGATCTGCGCAGGACCCCCCTCCCTGGCGCGCGGAGCGCGCGGGGGGCGGCGCCAGAGGCGCCGCCAGGAGGATCCTGGCGCGGATCCAAGAAGTCCGAACGGAGCGCAAAGAGTTTACATATAGCGTTTTGTTCTTCTTCGAATCCCGCTGATCAGGGTGTTCCAGGGACCAGGCGGCAGGGGAAGGCGCCCCTCCCCTCGCGTCGGCGCAAAGCCTCCGAGCTGCGGGCGCTGGGCTATGCCTCCTGAGCCGACGCCCGGCTGCGCAACACTCTCTTCCGATACCCTGCCTATCGATGCACCATCGGAGGAGGCAGAGCAGGAAGCAGAGAATCCCACCAGCCCTTCAAGGCGTGAGTGACTGAACCGGGCTTCTTTTCCCAACCCCCTTGTTCCCCCTCGGGGAAGGGCTTGTCCCTCTCCCTACGCGAGCACGACCGATCGCAACCACTTCGGACCGATCGTCGACCACTTCGGGCCGATCGCGACCACTTGCGATCAGTCCGAAGTGGTTGCGACGTTTTGGGAGGCACTTCAAGAAGGCTTCGATGGAGGGAGAGATCATAAGAGCGCTTCTGGATGCAATGAGCTCCCTTAAGCTTCCCGGTGAAAATCTTAAAAAGCGGTTGCGATCCGTCCGATCGTCGGCAGTTCGTCATCAGCATCATCATCAGCATCATCAGCATAATCATCAGCAGCATCATAGCTATCCCAGAATAATCATCGGCATCATCATCATCAGTATCATCATCATCATCATCATCATCATCATCATCATCATCATCATCATCATCATCATCATCATCACCATCATCATCATCCGAATGCTTTATCCTCCCTCTGCTTCTCCTCCTCCACTTCCCTCGTATTGTATCAATTCCTTCCAGCCTCCAGCCTCTTCTCCTCCTCCTCCTCCTTAATCATCATCCCCCTCCTCCCCTCATGCCCCACTTCGCCATCTTTATCCTCATTATCATTCACACTGTCATTCACACAATCAGCATCATCATCATCATCATCATCATCACCACCATCATCATCATCATCATCACTATCATCATCATCATCATCATCATCATCATCATCATCATCATCAGCATCACCATCAGCACCATCATCATCATCAACAGCACCACCATCACCATAATCATCATGAGCAGCAGCGTCATCATCGTCATCCAAAATCGCCATCCACATCAGCATCATCACCAGCATCACCATCAGCATCAGCATCAGCATCCTCATCAGCAGCATCAGCATCAGCATCAGCATCACCATGATAATATTGTGATCGTCCTCCCCCTCCTCCTCCTCCTCCTCATCATCATCATCATCATCAGCAGCAGCATTATCATCATCATCATCATCATCATCATCATCATCAGCAGCAGCAGCAGCAGCAGCATTATCATTATCATCATGATATTCCTCTTCCTCCAAATTGTCCTCCTCCCTCGCATCCTCCTCCTCCTTCTCCTCCTCCTCCTCCTCCTCTTCCTCGTCTTCTTCCTCCTCCTCCTCCTCCTCTTCTTCCTCCTCCTCCTCCTCCTCCTCCTCCTCCTCCTCCTCCTCCTCCTCCCCCTCCGCCTCCTCCTGCACTTCCAGACCCTCCCATGCCCCACGGGCGGCGGCGCGCGCGCGAGAGGGGGAGAGAGAGAGAGAGAGGGAGAGCACGACGACGATGGACCACTAGCGACGGACGACTGACGACTGACACCGCGACCACGACGGAGAACGCATGAGGAATGACAAACGTGAGAGCCCCATGAAGAATCCTCAATACTCCCTCGAGAATCCTCCAGGGATCCCCAGGAAACCGCAAGTGCCCCTCAGGAATCCCTCCAGTCCCTCAGGAATCCGCCCAAAATCCCTCGAGAATCCATCTGGAGTCAGTGGAAATCCATCGAAAATCCTCCAGGAAAGCCCCAAGACTCCTCAAGAATCCTGCCAAAATCCCCCAAAATCCGCATGCATCATTCAGGAACCCTCAAGAATCCTTCAGGAATCCTCCAGAATCCTTGAGAAATTCTCAAGAATCCTTCAGGCATCCCCAAGAATCCCCAAGGAATCCTCAAAAATCCTTCAGGGTTCATCATGAACCCGCAGAAGTCCCTCAAGAACCCTTTAGGAATCCTTCAGGGATCCGCAAGTCCGATCGGTCACGAATCCACTGCTCTCAGCTCCAACTGCTTGAATTGCCTGGTGACAGGAAGGGTAGTTAAAATCACTGCCCTTCACGGACAAGCACTGCGTGACATTCGGACACTCGTGTTTCAAGCATGAGGTCTAGTATGCCGTTTACGCAAAGACAGCGAGCACTTGCGCATCGAAACCTACGATTGGCCTGTGGTAAACGTAATATTTGAAACCGATGACATAGCGTATCACAACAAGCACCGTGTACACATTTGTCGTAGTAATGCCCACGTGCAACTGGAAATCCTGTAGCCCGTCCCGCTTCTCATGTTTCTGCTTCGCACATCGGAGCAGACTCACCATATCACTCGAAACACTCCAAGAAATTGGACACAAGAAGGCGACACCGCGACGCACCAATCGAGCGGGCGACACTGCTTCCGTCCAGAGTGCATGAAACACGCTCCGAAGCACTCTCCCAGACGTGACCGACTGCGCCGTGTGCAAGTAGCTAGTCCAGGAGGTGGAAACCAGGCTTGCGAAACGGCGCGTGCCTCCGCTCTGCGCACCGTGCCCCACGCGACATGAGAACAGCGAAATTGGCTGCGGCGCGGCAGCGCGGCGGGTGCCTGCAGACGCTGTCAGGAAGATCGCTCCGCACGACGGGCAAAAACTGCTTGGCCAGACGGTACGCACCTTCATCTCACGCAAACGCGGCATGGAATGTCAAAAGCGGGCTGGCCAAATATATGCGACAATGGACAAGGCTTGAACCGAAAATTGTCAGAAAGCGTAGGAAGGAGCAGAGGAGGAGGAGGAGGAGGAGGAGAAGGAGGAGTAGCAGGCAGAGGGCGAAGGAGGATGCCCAAGCTCCCCTCGGCGGCTCCTCTCGTCGCCCTGCGTGGCGGTCAGGCCACCCCGGACTCTGCCGAACTCCTTTCTGTCTACGGTCCAGCGCAGCAGGGAGCCGTCGAACGAGTCGATCCGGATGTGCTGGTCGTCTTCACCTCCCCGGGTTGGAGGCTCGGAGGTGGGCACCAACACCGACACAGGGGGGTGCCTCCACAGGGGGAAGATGGTCCTAGATGTCGGTGCTAGTGGAAACATCTCGGCCACCTCGAAGCCAGGATATTACCACCATCACCGAGATCGGGACCTCCTTCCCTCGGTTGAGCGTGCAGGAGGCGAAATAGAGGCGGCCGGGGGGAAGGAGGGCCCAGGGGCAACATCAGAGGAGGAGGAGGAGGAGGAGGAGGAGGAGGAGGAGGAGGAGGAGGAGGAGGAGGAGGAGGAGCAGGGGGAGGAGGGTGAGGCCCACGGCCGATCCTGGTGCCGGTGTCGACCTCCCGGGCCTGCGGCCCTGGGCGCCTCCCCGGCGCCCTCCCTCCGCTCTCCTGAGAAGCAGCCTCACGAGGGAAGCGGCTCAAGAGGGAAACCGAAGGGGCCCTGGGACACACGAATCAATACGCACAAACAAAGGATTCTCCCCATATCTTTCCACATTTTCGGGGTCTTTGTCTTCCCCCCACCTCCCATGTTTTTCCTGTATTTTCTGGGGGATCGGCGATGAATTGTGTCTGTGTGTGTTTTGCCCCTCCCGAGAAGCATCGACCTGGAAGAGGCGACGCATCGCCCGCACAGCGGCGATGGGCTCCAGACTGCGAATCCGCCCGGCCCAGGACGGGGCGGGTGGTCGGGCCCATGTCGGCGATGGGAGGGCAAACGGGGGTGGATGCATTCCTCCCTGAGCCTGCCTCCCCTGATGTTGGTGGATGCATTCCTCCCTGAGCCTGCCTCCCCTGATGTTGCCCCTGGGCCCTCCTTCCCCCCGGCCGCCTCTATTTCGCCTCCTGCACGCCCATCACCACCAGCCCCGTCATCTCCCCACACCATCCAGAGGTACCCGAGGCCGTGTCGGCAACGCGGCTCACGAGTGGCGAAGGCATCCGTATCCACGCCCTCGCGGTCTGGCCTCTGGAGCGCGATCCCGCGGATGCGCGGGCGCATGGATGCGCTCTGCGCGGGACACCCGACAAAAAGCCGCCCCGTGCCCACGAAGTCGCGCTCCAGGGGCCCGCCGGCGGGGCCGTGGCCTTGGGTATGGAGGCGTCTTCCGATAGGTCGGGCCTGTCCCCCTACAGGGGGATTTTCGACGAAACATAGAAATACCCGAGCAATTTTTGAAAAAATATATATATATATATATATATATATATATATATATATATATATATATATAATATAAATAAATAAATAAATAAATAAATAAATAAATAAAAAAATGAATGAAAAAGTAAATAAATACATAAATAAATAAATATGTAAATATATAAATAAATAAATAATAAAAGAAAAAAAAAAAAAAAAAAAACAAAAAAAAAAAAAAAAAAAATGGGGACTATGTCTTGAATATGTTTGACCTTTGGGGGGTATTTTTGGGTATTCTTAATTTTTCGTTGAAAATCCCCCTGTAGGGGGACAGTCCCGACTTCAGTCTTCCGCCCACGAGCGACGCTACGAGTGACCCCTCCCTCGTCAGCAGGCGAGAGACGTCTCGTTAGAGGGGAAATCTAGACGCCGGCGCCGCCACTCGGTTCTCTCCGAATCTGCGCCCTTTGACCGCCGGGAGCACGCCGTGGTGAGGGGCTTCCACGGCCAGAGGAGCGACGAAAGGGCACGCGTCTTACTCACGATGGCATAGTGACCTTACGCCGCGGCTTACGCGGGTCCGCCAACGTGGCACACCGCGTGGAGAACAAAGCGCTTACGCACGACCTCGCGCAGGAAGCTTGTACGCGAATGTCTACGCAGTCGACACCCCTTTTCTTCCGTCGCCCAGATGGCCAGATGAGACTCAACGATACAAGGGGACTGGAATTCGTGGAGAAACGTCGACATGAAATCGGCGATAATGCCCCGAAAACAAGCCTCCACGTTCCTGAGCGGGGTGGGGCCAATTATCGGGCCCCTTCCGGCGATGAATGGACAATTGGAGGTCGATGCGTCCCCCCTTTGACGCCGATCCCCATCGCTGCCACTGGCCAGGAGGCGGAAGGGGGCCCAGGGGCATCCCACAAGGAGGTCAAGGGTTAGGTCGGGCATGCCCCCCTACAGGCGGATTTTGGGCGAAAACTTGAAAATTCCCAGAAAATACTCCAAAATAGTCGTTACATGTTGCAAAAAAATAGTCCCTATACGACTTTTGTCTTATTTTTGAATATATATACATATACATATACATATACATATACATATACATATACATATACATATACATATACATATACATATACATATACATATACATATGCATATACATATACATATACATATACATATACATATATACATATATACATACAATCTATATATATATATATATATATATATATACATACATACATACATACATACATACATACATACATACATACATAGGTACGTACATACATACATACATACATACATACATACATACATACATATGGTCAGCGGCCGCAGGCGAGCGCGCCAGCGGCGACTCCAGTCAGAGCGGGGCGCGCAAAAACGAATTAACCTAAAACGGTGGGCCGAAGCCTCACGCAGCACCTCGGCGGCCGGGCCGGCGAGTGGGAAAGGGCTGACAGCAACTGCTGGGGAGCTGCACTGCCAGGGCGCACGCATGCAACGCGTTGCAGAAAGGGTTGGCTGCCAGGGTGGACGGCGGCCAGGGGCTGCAAGCTGCGAGGAAATAAGTGCCAGGGCGTAGGCACCCGTAGGACTGCGGAAGTACCAGGGTGGCCGCAGCCAAGCGAACCGACTGCCAATGGCCGAATTGTGTACCCAGTGGGGGCGTGAGCATCAGCAAGCTGCGGAGTACCAGGGTGGCCGAGGCCACAAGGTCCAACAGCAGCGGAACGCACGAACGCGAGTGAATTGGGCAACCGAAGCTGCAGCGCGGCCAAAATGGCGCGGGGGCACCACGAAAGGGGCCGGGGAAGCAACTCAGAGAAACCCAAGCAGCGACCCGAGGCCTGGCGGGTGCAAGAGGTGGCGCCAGCGAAGTCGCGCACCAGAAGCCCTGCAGAGGGAAGAAGCGTGACCCGCAGTCAGCACACCAGGGGTGGCGACGGGCTGGTGGGGTTACTTTTTGATCAGCGGCCGCGGGCGAGCGCGCCGGCGGCGAGTCAAGTCAAAGCGGCCTACGCGGAGACTAATTGAGCAAAGGCAGCGCGAACAGGCTACGACTAACGCAGCAAGCCGAGGCCTCACGCGGCGGCCCAGCGGCGGGCGGGTGGCAGGGGAGACTGAAACTGAGTCGAACTGCCAGCGTGCAAATATGCAGGGCGTCGGAAGCACCAGGAAGTCGGGATAGACGACGACCAGGGTCAACTCCGTAAATTAAGGCATGAGACCGGGCCCCAGGCAACTGCGTGGGCACCAGGGTGGCCGCGGCCAAAGAACCGCCGGTCGAGGTGGAATTGAGAAAGGCAAAGGCGACGCCACAGACGTCGGCGTGAGCGCGAGAACCAGGGTGAGATACTTTTTCTTTTTATTTGCGGCCCGCACGGAAAAGTCCAGAGGGCGGTGTGATCGAGGCTGGGGCACAGGGCACGGTAATTAGCGCGAGAACGCGCGGAATGCACATGCAAGACGATTAGGTAGAGAGGCGGCCACAGGTGGGCAACCACAGGCCGGACCCGCAGGTGGGGCCGGACCGAAACCCTGCCGGAGTGCAGCAGAGGCGAGTCGGCCACGGATGGGCAGACAGAATACAGGCCGGAGCCGCACCTGAGCACCGCGGCCGACAACAGTCAGCGGAGCGTCGCACAGTGGCGCCAGCCCCAAACCGGGCGGCGAAGGACGCGGCGACAGGGGGGGGAGAGAACGGGAGGGGCAGGCAGCGACGGGGAAAAGAAAGGGAGGAACCAGGCCTCACTCACAGAACACCACACGTGTTCGACGCTCACCGCGAAGCCCTCTTGAGTTCGAAGCTGAAGCCAATGAACCAGGGGCCTGATGACCTGCGGGCGACGAAGGTATCCGAGCGTGGCCCAGGGCAAGCGACACTGGCGGCCGAGGACCCAACAGAATGATGATCACTTCCGTCGCCGACGATGGGGGGAAACCACTTAGCATACAGCTGGACTTCAAAGGGTGAAGCACGGGGGGGGCCTTCAGCCAGTTGCCTCTGCACCACGGCCCGCACTCAACGCGGGCAAAGAAACTGGGCAGGGTTATTTCAGCCGACCGCAGGAGCAGAAACCCACGGAACGTCGCGGGTATCTATGCGCAGTGTAGTGCCCCTCGAACCCAGGAGGTGGCACAAGTCCGTGGCCAGAGCCATCCACTGCAGGCGGGGTTACGCGAAGCGTCTAGAATTCATTGCATAGACATTCCAGTGTACGCTCTTGTGTTGCGCAGGTGCAATGACTGACAGGACCCATCATCCATCGGCCCCACCATTAGCGAAAGTGCTTGTCGACGCATAAGCAGCAACTCGCCATCCCTCCACACCCGTTGCCTTTCGTCTCTCTCGCATGCGCATGGATGCGCATCGCTACACCCACGGTCAGGTATAAGAAAAGTACAGGGTATGAAGTGCTACGGCTGATCTGGGCTCAAGACGAGGAAGTCCGCGTAACATGCCAAACCAGGTCGCACCAAAAGAAAACTGCAAGGGCTCGAACGAAAAAGACAACGCCTTGATCGCCGTGGGTGCATGGTAAGAACGCATGTCCCAATGTATCACCACACAAGTCCCGCGCACTCTGCACAGGAAGTCCCCTTGCTGCGTATTCAATCATGTGGCCTCCCTCGGCGGTGGACAAACATCCACTTAGTAGACCTCCCTTTTGTGAAAACGGCCTAAGACCGAAGCCGACGGACCTGGACCCGCAAAAAGGACGGCCGCGACGCCCTCTCGCGAACCGAAAGCGGCAGATTCGCTCATCGACGTGCCAGGGTAGGAGGTCCATGAACCTCCGACTCCCCCCGTGTCCCACACTGCACTTCATCGCTGCCCTCTTGATGGGCTGCCCGCTCTCCTCACGCGTGCTCCGTGCCTGCCGCTGCGGACCCCGATACGGATACCCATCGGTCGGAAGACGTGGGCAGAGGCATGAAGTGGGATGGCGTTGAAAGCAGACTGGGTCTCCGACCGCCCCCTGAAGACGAAGCGGGAGGGAAAACCGCTCGATCCTGGAAGTAGCAAGGCGCGTGAGGTAGACTGGCACCTGGAGATCCAAAAACACCTGCTTCCGGTGACCGATGGGCATGGATGCTGACAATCGGGCACAGCGGCTGCAAAAGGACGAGGACTTCAGGGCCACACAAACACGCTACGGCCTTACTTGCCACATGCACGCAACCTGCACGCATACCCATCGACTGGAAGAAGTGGGAAAGAACATGAAGTAGAGAGGCGTTGAAAGGATATCGGGTTCCCGCCACACCCCCAAAGAGTAAGAGGGAAAACCACTCGACGATTCAAGCAGGAAGGCGCCTGGAGTAGATTGGAGTCTGGGTATCCAAGACACCTACTTTCGACGACCGACGGGTACGATAGGTTCGTTGCCACGCGTACGACTAGGCGACCTAACCTCGCGCATCGCGCGTGAGCCTCTACGCGCGATCACCCGCGTGCCCCCGCGCCGACCCCCCTCGAGAAGGGCATCCGCTCTGGCCCAGGCCGCGATTCGCGCGCAGCGCGAAGATCTCCGCGCCCCCGCGGGGCGGGTGGCCTGAGCGATGGACACGCTGGCCCATACATGCAGCTTACACGCACGCGCTGTCGTTTTTTTTTTCATCGGCATGCACGCAACGTCACGAATGCGTCTGCACGCTGGTGTCGCACACGTGCCAGCTCACCGACGGCGTGGCCAGGAGACCCGGCGGCCAGACACCCCGCGGTGGTGGCGGCGGCCACGACCTGTATTTGTTTCGCTGGGCTGTGGACGAGTGCTACAACAGTAAGCGGGGGCGGAGAAGGTGGCAGTGGTGGAGCCGCTGGGGGGGCAGTGTCATCACAATGCTCGCACATCAGGCCGCAGGGAGAGGCCTCCCAAGTGGGGTCCGGGTAGACGTGGTCGGAGAATCGCGCCGCATCGCCGATGCGTCGGCGACGTCAGCGATGCATCGGCGACGTCGGCGTGGAGAAAAGTGGGCCCCACATCGAGCCGCATCGCCGATGCGTCGGCGATGCGGCGCAATCCTCCGACCCCGTCTGCTCCGACCCCACCTAGGATCGGCGGCGAGCGAGTGGGGAAATGAAAAGGAGAAGGCCTTCTCAGAAGGCGGCGGGACTTTTCAGAAGCCATCGCGCCTTCTGAGAGGTTTTCTGTGTCTCCAGGGAAGGCTTAGAAAACTTCAAAGCCGGGGGACTTCCGAGCCTTCTGAGAAGGCCTGCCCCTTCGCACTTCCCCCCGGGCTCGCCGCCAATTGGAGGCCTAGACTCGGGAAGATATGAAAGCAACAAGGGGGAAGCCCAGCTCATTCTCCAGGTCCGCTCCACGCGAGGCGACGAGGAGGAGAAGGACGACGACCCCTTCACCAACCGCCGGACCCGCCGCCATAGCCGCCGCCGCCCGTCATCTGCCCCGTCTCACACCCGCCGAGACCGCCCGCGAGAGCGGCGCCCGCCATGGAGCCGCCGCCGCAGCCGTCGCCGAAGGTGCAGGGCTTGCCCGCCATGCACGGTCATCGCAGGGCGTAATCGACGAGGGTACCTCTTGCCGAAGGAGCGGCAGCGTGCCTCCGCTGCAGGCCGGCTCTGGCCGCGGCCTGCGCACTGCCCGGGCGCGCGCCCTGCACACGCGGAGGGCCGCACCTGAGGCTGCACACGATATCACGAGCATCGCTTGCTCGATCCCTCGCCTCCTAGGCGGCGACGACGACGACGACGACGACGATGACCGGCGGCGGCGTCTTCGACGGGCGTCCGCGCCAGCCGGGCGGCCGGCCCCCGCCGGCCATGGCCGTGGCCAAGCGCGGAGGAGCGGAAGCTCCCGCAGGCGCACCACTGCTCGGAGGCCCGCGGGCGTCGCCCAGGGCAGGCTCGCGCCGTGGCAGCCCTGGCGCTGGCCTGGACGCACAGAGACATGCTATGACTATATGCTCTCCTCGGAGGCGCGCGTCCGACCCGAGCATGCAGTATACCCATCTTGTTGTGCATCGTTTCCCGACCAGTGTGGCCAGAGTAGCGCCCGCCACGGCGCATATACTATAAGAGTTCTTGGTGCGCGCATCGCCCCCGGGGGGGGGGGGGCGACGCACATATGGTATAAGTATGTTGGGGTGACGCCGATTGGCTCCTGACACCGCGGAGATCGTTCAAACTCGAACGATCGGCAATCTCAAGAAAGGCCGGACTGTGCAAGGATGGGCCGATCCTGGGCCACCGGCGGCGTTCAACCTCAAGCGCCCGCGCTGGGGTCGCCGCCAGTCGACACGACGCGAACCTGCCGTACATGGAGGCGATGGGGGGGAGACAGGTGCACTTCTCGGGCCCGCAAGGCCCCGACCCTAAAGGGGCCCCTTCAAAGGGCCCCTTGAAGGGCCCCTCTGCTGCAGTCCTCGCTGCCCCCCCCCGTGTATCGGCATCGCCCAAGGTGTACCTCCTCCTGCACGTCCACTTCGGCACCGCCTGATCCCAGGGCTTCGCCCTCTGCCGGCCACCGTGAGGCCCCGCCTTCTTCCGCCCTTTCTCTGCCAATTAAAGCTGTGCGCGTCCCGCTTAGCTTCCAGCGGAAGAGGTTCGCTCTCGCCCCGCAGATCAAAAAGTGCATCGGCATCGCCGCCCCATGACGCGACGCCCAAGGTCTGCGCGGAGTTCCTGAGCCAGCGCTGGACACCCCTGGCGGCGCCTCCGACGCCACCCCTGGCGGAGGGAGGTTCAGCGCCGACCCAGAAAATCTGCACGGACCTCCGAAGGTTTATGTATGTGTCGCCGCTTTTCTTATATGGTGCTGCTTATTCGAATTAACTATATTACGATTGTTAGTATTACTCTTATTGGAACTCGTTATATGATTAGTATTACTGTAGTAACGGTTTTGTAAACATCGTACTCATAGTAGTGTTGTTAGTATTATCATCATTCGGTTATTGTTAGTATTATCATTCAAGCACTGGCCAACTTACGCCCCTGGGAGGGAAAATACGCTCTTCCCTTCGGGCGACGCGGGACCTCTCCCCAGCAGGGCGGGTGACCGGGTGGGGTCGAGATGCCACGGGTGGCAACTGGCAATGAGGTCGCGGCCCTGTAGGGCCGCAAAGGGGAATTGTTCGACACATCGCCTGGCTCGGCGAGGGTGCCCATACGATCCAGTGATGAGGCGCACTGGACGGGCAACAGCCTCGGAGGGGACAAAAAGGACCGTGCCGGCTACACCCCAGCACCAGACCAGGTGGGGACCCAGCAAGACTTGGACGCATCTAAACCGCCTCGGGATCAGTGAGGGGAGCGTGCCGAGTCAGGCACGAAGGAAGCAGCTGCCATCCCCGAAGACCTCGTCTGGAACACTGAAATCCGGCAGCTGGACATGCTCGATGTAGGCATATTCGACTTCTGCCTCATCGCGCTCTCATCCATTCGCCCACCACCAAGAGAACTATTGGCTACTCGTCTGCTGCGCGTCACCAACTGCTAGCATAGACGTGGTGCGCAAGACACACGGAGACACAGCGAGCGACATGCAAAGAGATAGAGATTGGGACACAGCACGTCGGAGACAGGGACCGGACTTAGACTACTTAGAAAGAAATCTTCCAGGACGGTGAGACGGGCAAGGGATGAGGCCCGACAGAATGCATACATGGACAGAAAAAGTCGCAGGGCAAGAAAATAAGGGCACGGATTCTGGCATTGACTGAACACTACTTGCACATGGACACGGATATAGGCACTGATTCAATCATGAACGAGAGGAGGAATGTAGAAACAAGCAGGAGACTGGAACGAAAGATGAGTCGCGTGGACAAGTGCGCATGACAAGCTGGAGATGCTGAGGAGGCAGCACCCTCAAATCACAAGCAGGAGGAACTCTGAAAGAATCTGCCTTTCCACCGGGGGGAAGACCCGAGCCTGATCGAAGCGCGAAACCGGATCGGATCGGAAACGAGACGGATCGCCCGCGAACCGTCTCGAATCGAACCGAAACCGGATCGCCGCGCCTGGCTCCGTCTGGCCCCGGCCGCTGCTGGTGGCTCGAGCCGAATGAGATCGGACCGGAATCGCGGCCCCAGCCTGGCGAATCGAATCGCACCGGATCAGACCGCAGGCGGCCCTGCGAGGCGCATGCCTGCCTTCGACGGTGCTCGATCGCAAGTAGTACCTCCATCTGCTGCCCGCGCTGGAGGACCCTCTGCGCCGCCGACAAAAAAAGCCGGGGGCATGTCGGATGACAACTTGGCCATACCAGCAGAAGTCGGATTGTTGAGAACATGGATTCTACTTCTTGTGTGCGATATACCAGAGTACTGTCTGACGCGCGTGCACCGAGCGAGTGAGCAGGAGATGTTGCCATCGTCATCGATGCCACCCCGAGAACGCACCTTCGCTGCCCGCTCCGCCACAGAGGCCCCACCGAGACGAGAATGGCATGCCATGAAGCCCTGCACGGGCGAGGCGAGTACGGAGGCCAGCAGTGCTGGGAGTGGGCCGCGCGACAACAGCTCCATGTGCGCACCGCCTTGGGACTATCCGGGGAGCCACCGAGTGTCCAAGAGAGCGACTCTCGCAAGCAATGCAGATCGCTGTGTCTGCCGTCCTGTAGGTCAGCCGCCGAGTCGTCGGCAGAGATGGCGCGGGAGAAGTTGATGCCGTACGCGTCCGCTGAGGAACAAGAGACACAGAATGCAAGCAGGCATGTTGCTATCGATAAGAGATCTGACGGTTTGGAAGCCGTGATCGACTTCAGGTCTGCGGCAGTTCGAGCCGACCACCATTCCCTGGGCCACTGACCCACTCTGGAATGATGTCTGCAAATTCATCTGGTTCGCCGACCCCGTGGGCATGAGTGTCAAAGTGTCCGTGACCCACCGCTCGGCGGCCACGGCGGATTCAACCATCACTCCTTGGGGGTCACGCCTTGCTTGCCGCACGGTGCCGTGCCATGCGTTCCAAACCACACTCTGGGTGCCGTGCGCGCCATGCCTCGCTTGCCGTGCAAGAACTGCAATGCCGTGCCGCGCGTGCCGTGCTGTGGTTACTGCTATCAGCGGGCCAAGTCTTGCGTGCCGTGTGCGAGTGTGTGTGCCGTGTCGTGCGCACCGTTGCGTGCGATGCACTACATGCCGTGTCATGCCCAGTTCTCGCTCCCTGTACGCATCTCGTTCACATCCAATTCGTGTCCCGCTCGTGCAACGTGTATAGCGCCTCGTTCCAACCACTCTGTCCATATCTCGTTCCCATCCACTTTAGGCGTGCCTCGCTCACATACAATTTCGTATCCCACCATGCACGTGTCTCGGTACCTCCACATCGTCGCCCACTCCTTGGCGTCTCTCGGCAGATTGTTGTGCAACAGACTCCGATTATCATACCCTGTCCCACGCTGATGGCCTGTGAGCGCTGCCTGGAACACAAATGGCACCACTGGGCAGGACGCGGGCTTCAGCTTCGCACCTCGGTCGCACAAGCACGAGCGATGCTGCTACGTACTGCCAGCATGCCACATCAATGGATGGCATGCTGGTAAGCGTCACTGCACTCGGGCTCATCTCGGGCGGGTGGCAATGGAGGGTGACCTGAATGAGAGGTGAAGAACAGGGCCCTACAGGGGCCCATTAGGGCTCCTTTTCAGCCCCTGCTGGCCACCCCCCCCCCGATCATCGCTGAAATCTTCGCAGCTACCCTCACTGGATCTTGCTTGCACTGCCGACCCGCAGCTCGCACCAACAAGGGCTAGTCTGACTGCTTGAGATGCTCATGCGTCTGCCCAGGCTCGTTCCAGAGTGTCAACGGCAGCGGGGAATGAGCACTGGCCCTCGAAAACATACTCGATACTCTGATCACAACGCATATGGGCAAGTGCACCTTGTAATATGCAAGCTGGGTGGTCGCAGGCCTCGCTTCGGAGAGACAACGTTCGGTACAGTGGGACATGGAAGCGTGATGGGCGAGAGTGGCACTAGTGATCACTAACTGGACTCCGGTACGAACGAGCTCAGCTAATCGGGCTGCAACGAGCAGGATGGAGAGGGGCGTTCGCAGCTGTGGAGCACGTCGTGTCTTCACTCCCCTCTCAACAACCGAGTCTCGTGTAAGCTTGAAAACCCGAGCCACGAGCCGCGAGTTCGTGAGCACGGTCGGCCTTTGCAAGGCCGATGAAAGCTTCGGGTCTTGCCAACGAAGACCCTGGCCCAAGGTGACCCCAGCTTTCACGGGGAGGCCCAGAGGGCATGCAGAGCATCCCCCCCAAGGCCAAGAGGACCCAAGAGGCTCCAAAAACGGTGGGCAAGGCTGAGGGCACCCGGGGCCAGAACCAACTCTGGCCCTCGGGTCAGCATGTGTCGCGCGCGCTGGGCCTACGCTGATCCTTTTTTCCTCCTGCTACGAGTTTCCGCTGGGCGCACGCTAACACGGAATACGAATCGGCGGATCTGGCGCGTGGGCGCCAGATCCACAGACCAGGGAAAGTACCCCCCGACAAACGAGGCCTGTGCCGCGTCGGTTCTTCTGATCCTCCTGTCCTGCTTCACAGTCACCGTCACCTGACCCGCAGAGATCAGCTCCCCCGACCTCTCCAGGGGTGCGCTGCCACAAGAATTCCAGGCGAAAAAAATCCCGCCCAAGCCTCAAATGATGAAACGCGTGTGAAAGCCTCTACCCAAAAAAAATCGATCCCCTACATATCGATTCTCATTCA